TGCTTTCAAAAGAAGTTCTTTTATAGCTTCTCGTTTAAAGTTCCTTTTGTTGGATTTACACAGACAGTATGGTTCTTACTTGTCTTGAAACAGAAACTCATCTGTCATTGGGTTTATCGTCAGTTTTAAGTTTCCTTCTTTCAATGACTCAGATATCTTAGAATAGTTTGAAAAGTTTGTTGTGTTCTTATTTAGAGCTTTGCAAAATGAGTTGTCGGTTGTGTTGTATTTCTCTCATAGACGCTGTTTCTTTCGACATTTTTTATTCTAGATAAAATATGCTTTCAATAGAAAAAGAAAATTCAAGAGTTGCTACAAACTAAACCATTAGATGAACTTTTTACGAATGTCGGTCAAAAGTTTGAGACAGAGACCGTAAAGCATGAAGGCTATCGTTTTGACTACCCATTAAGATGGCTAAGAGACCCATCTGTCACAAAGCTATTGGCTTTCGTAGAATGAAGTTTGTGTCTGTAGAAGATAAAAGTTTTCCATTTATTGTAAGGTTTCATATAGATTATATATCTGAAGGGAAACGAAAAATGTGGAAGAAATTGAGCTAATACAAGTTGACTTTCATCTTCTCTACAGACTGCGTTAAAAAATATAGAAGATAAAATAAATTCATGTTATGCAAAATATGCTGATGAATATGCAAATACCGAGAGCACACTTTATGTGAGAATTGTATATGACAAACAAAATTCACAAGTGTCATTTCAAATCTACGAAGACAATCCAAAGAAAGACGAACAAATATATACAGAATTCACTGCAATGTCATGGTATTATTTGCAAAGAATGTTAAATCAGAAAGTCGAACTTCCTTTAGCAAATATTTACAGTCGATATGCAAGAGATGAACCATATTTATTTAAAGATGTTTTCGACCCAGCTGCTATTATTGTTCATGCTTCATTTTCTGGCGCCCAAAACTCTTTCTTATGCTTGGCAAATGACTTTTACGAAAAACCTACAAAGTTATACGAACCACCAAGTGGAAGTATTTCAGACTTTCAAGTATGGTTTACTACAGATGGAAGAAAAAGAATAATTCCATTATACCATGTGTTTTACTTAGAACTTAGTTTCATATACAACTACTATCGAACGGTAAAAAATATAATTTTTAATACGGTTGAGGTGTTGGATTTGGTTGCCAACTAGACTGTGGTGCAGGTTCAGGCTGTTGTATAACAGGAGCTTGTTCTTCTGGTTCAGGGTCTTTAGGTATAATACCAACGAACTGACCTACTCTTTTACCAATATTTTTGACTCCGTTCCAAATTCCTCTTCCTACGGTTTTTATTCCATTCCATATACCTCTTCCAACATTTCGAAAGAAGTTTCCTATCTTACTGAAGAAACCCATTTTACTATATGTAAAAATCTAATGTCCGCCTAGTCTCTTACGTTTCCTGTTGAGTTCCATAGCATTCTTTAACTGGAGCTCATACATTCTGTTTCTCCTCTGGTAGAAAACATATTCTGGGTCAACTCCTGTGTTTGCGTCATCTGCATAAAGTTGTTTATATCCCACTTCAGGGTTTGTATAAAACTCTTTCCATCTCATATTTGCATACCATGGTGGTAAGCCTAACGCAGCGTCATTTGACATGGCAGTTTGCATTTGTACATCTGTTGGCACTTGACCATAGTTTGCCATTGCAGTTTGTATTCTAACTTCATTTGGAATATTCTCTGGGTTTGGTTGTCCAGGTTGCTGTGCATTCGCTAAGTTCTGTGCGTCCATTTAATATTAGATAAAAATATCTCTTACGAGTACATATACTGAACATTTGCAGGCATTGGTTCATCTTCATATTCTCTATATCTTTCTGCCACGTCAAATAAGTAAATGACACAATGGAAAAAACCTAAAACAAGTAGTCCTATTTCAAACCACATTTACTTACTAGTAAAATTTCTTTGTTATGACACTTTCTCCAGTTTATAGGACCTCTCTCATATTCTATCTTATCGTATCTAAACTCATAGTCATGTATGTCCTCTAACCATCTCATGACACTTTCCAAACCACTTTTATCGGATGTAAAGTAAAAGCATGGATGGTTATGTAAAACGTCTAAAGTTTCTAAAGAGTCTCTCAAAGTCCAGTCTACTTGGTATTGAAAATCCCATGTGTTATAGAACGGCGGGTCCACTATAAAGAAAACATTTTCCTTGTCTTTATATTTTTCATACAAATCTGTCCAATGACATCTCACAAACTCTATACCCTCAATATATTTTTCTATGTCCTCTTTGAAAACATTTGTATAGTTAAGATATAAAACTTTTGACATAAGTGTTTCAATGTCATGAACTCTTATAGAACCACTATATAATAGTCTAGCAGATATACTATCCCAGTCTATATATTCTGCTTTTTTCAAAACCTCTCTCACAATATTTTTCTTATCTAATGGTATACGTTCCATCTTACCTATAGGTATCTTTTCTTTTAACTCTTTCAATATATTGTTTGTGTCTGGAATATGTTTGAGACGGTCCATATAGTTGTCGAAGTCATTGCATATAATCTTTGAGTCTGGGAATATTGTATGACATAAATGGGATATATAGAAACTTCCACCGAACAAATCTACAAATGTTAGACCATTCGGTAGTTTCTTAAGTTCTCTCAATATAATATCTTTACATCTACTCTTATTTCCAAAGAACGGTAACGGTGGTTTTGTAAAATTCATTTATATATATATAAAAATGTTTTTTACCTGAAAAGTGACAGAAAAGTGACAAAACATGTACGAAGAAGTCTTGAAAATTCAAGAGGGTAGAAAAGAGGTTAGAAAAGAGGTTATATCTAACCTTCTACCCTAAACTTTATTTTTGGGTCATTTACACTCATTACGAAGAAGTCTTGACAAAACATGAAAACATATATAATTTGTGAAAAGCTCCTGGAAGACCCGTATATAAGAACTTCATTTATACTAAACATCTTCAGGGCTAGAAGGCACGAAGTGCCTGGAAGCCCCACTACCTTTTTTTTTTTTTTTTTTTTTTTTTATTGATTATTTTTCAATAATTTTCTTATGAGATGTATAATTAATTTTTAAATCTAACTAAAAGAAAAGGGTGTGAACTCCCATCTTTGAATTCATTGAGACTTCTCATATATACCACTAATTGGAGCATGCAAAGTATAGTAATTGTGTATATGAGTGCATGAAAAGTTGAACTTTTGTGTTGAAATAAAAGAAATTACTGTTTCGCATTTAACTTGTTGTGCTTATACAATAAATAAATTTTTCAATATAAATTTCCTTCTAATGCATTTTTTAAATACAGTCCCCCGAAATACGTGTCGAAGGTGTGGCAAAACAGTCGAAGGCACGACAAACCTGTCGAAAAAAATGATAGAATTACTAAATATACATAGATTTTCTTGTTTGAGCTATTTGAGAAAAATTAGACTAAATTAAAAATCAAATATTAAAAGAAACGTTTATCAATAATATACAAGAACTTTATTGACAATATATATGCCTATTAAGCTTTAAAATGAGAATATTTGAGCTCATTTGTGCAAATTGGTTATTTTGAGGATTTTTCGTAAATTTGTATGCCTTAACTATTTGAATGATATTAATATCCACAGTTTCATAAAGATAAGCTTTTTGGGTGCAATATGGCTTGAAGTCATAAATCTTTTGATGAGATCTGGAACTATTTGGTTCGAAGAGGACTTTCTGATATGGCATCATACCGACCTTCTCAGTGTAGCATTCGTGCAGTATGATCTTTCTCAGATGGCTCGTACTCCGTGCAACAAAAAATGTGAAATGAGGAAGTAAAATTGAGAGCAAAAGGGGAAGTAAAAAATTTTGAAAAAGAGGAAGTAATTGCATATGGATTTATTGTTCAAATAAAGGAATAATAATTTCATGAATCAAAACGAGATTTACCAAAAGGTATTACCTTAATTAAGCCAATTCATCCTATCCTTCGGGATTCTCTTATTGAAGAGCACAAAGAAAAAAAGTTGCGCTCGGAACGAGAAAAGACAGAAGAATATCGATCTGCGCGCTCAGAAAGACGAAAGGCAAGAAAATTGATTGTAAAAGGAAAAGGAGATTACGGAAATGGACAAGATGAAGAAATAATTTCAAATGAATCACAAAATTCTTCAGAAATTCCAAAGTATGTAATTGCTGGAATGCCTCAAGAAAAGAGGGAACCGTTTCCATTACCTCAAATTCATGGTTTTCAAGAATAATTTAATAATTTAAACAATTTTATTTTTTACAACTTTTAACTTTACTATAACATTACATAATGTATACACAATATATTTGTTATATTATTTTAAATTTTACAAATCCAAGAGATTCTGATTGCAAAAAAAATTATGATTTAATGCGATAATTCTATGATGTTTGTAATATACTATTCATGTATATTCAGTATGACTATTATTAATGCATCTTAATGGGGATAAAGAAATAATAGATAATTGATTTTCACATATGATATATTTATTGTTGCCAATATAAATATTTTTGTAAGTATTTTATATTGTTACTCTTATGATGCTTATTATAAAACTCAAGATAAAAAGATTTCAACAAATTTTCACATATGATATATTTATTGTTGCCAATATAAATATTTTTGTAAGTATTTTATATTGTTACTCTTATGATGCTTATTATAAAACTCAAGATAAAAAGATTTCAACAAATTTCATTATATCTCATTTTTATTAATGTGATTATTATTAGTAGTAGTGTTTTATATTAGAACTCTTAAATACGATATTTGAATTTCAAGTGAAATCGAATAGTATCTCATTTATTAAAACTTCGACAGGTTTGTCGTGCCTTCATAACTAAAACGCAGAACAACATGATATATAATAAGCCATAAATAAAAATATTTATTTTTCAAATCAGCAAAAAAAAATTCAAAATAACAACATTTTGGTCCAACTGAACATATTATACTATATATAGATTATATAAAAATATATTCTACTATGGTAGATTATAAGCCGCATTGGAAACATCATAATCTGGATCGCTTCTAAGTTCCGAAATAACTTTGTTGAGTTGTGCCTTTTCATCACCTTCTAAATGGTCAAGTATCTTATTTGCAGCGTCAACTGCAGCGAGTCTAACGTTGGCTACATTGTCATGGCACAATTTGATCAAATCAGGTATCATCTGCTTTCCAAGTTCGATATCGGCAGTTCCAATGATCTTCGCTGCCGTTGCGCGCTCCCAGTAGATGGGGCTGCTAATAAGACTTGGAATGAACGATAACCGTTCTTGGGTTAAAAGGTGACAGAACGATAGAACTGCATCTTTTCTTACCTGGTATACGTCATCCTTCACTAAGTCTTTTGCGCTTTCGAAGAGGACCTCGCTGTCATAGAACTTTGAGCAGTAGCGGAGTTGCTCCGAGACGTGGAATCGCATGCGCCAGCTCTTGTATCGGGATGGATCCTGTAATGCGAACAAAAGTGACTCTTTTCCAGCGACCAAGCCTTTTTTGTCCTCGATAATCTCGAGGATCTTGTGTAAGCTTGAGACAACTCCGAGGGCAACAACAGGGAAGTCCCTGAGAAAAGTTGATGAGACTGTAACTAATGTATTCGGATCTAAGAGATGGGCAAATGCCTGTAAACCGTATGCAAGTGTTCGACGAACGTTGTGGTATTTGGATGAGCATGCTATATCGTAAGCAGCCTCTAATTTGCTCCATCTGCTTGTCCCGAGGGCCAAAGCGACTCCGGAGAAAGAATAAGCTGCCAAAAATTGAGTTGTTGCGTCACGTGAGAAAAGTAATGCACAGTATTTTGCTATAATTTGACTATCTGATCTTCCACCAATAAGAGAAATAATCTGTCCTAAGTTCTTGGAGGCGGCTGTTCTGACTGCCTCCACTGGGTCTACCAAAAGTAGATTAACTTCTGGCATAATCATAATGAAACGTTCATTTGGATCTAATGCGTCAGATAAAGTCATTAAATATTCGGCAGCGGCCTGCCGTACAGAGCTTGTGGAATCTCTGCAAAATAAAATGTATCTGGCTGTTAGTTGAGAACGGCCTAGGGGCTCGGTTATTTTCTTAGCGTATAAAGCAATAAGTTGCGGGAGGCGCGTACGTATTGAGCTTAGCTGATCTGAGGCGAGGGTAGATATCATTTCATAGAGCTGTTGATACCATTCTTTTGGATCGAAAAATTTAATGAGTAAAGATAGAATTTGTACACATGTCATTCTGACATCTTTGTTCGGGTTCTTCGAGAAGGATACCAAAACTTGTAAATGCTTTGAAAGGAAATCTTTTTTTTCTATTAAAGTAACTAACGCTGCAAACGAATAACTTAAACCATCAATTAAATCTGATTTGCAGGATAAAATAATTTCACTGACAAGAGGAATAACTGTATCCGCGAGAATATTATTTGCGATATCAGGAAAGAATTCAAATAGGACTTCTCCAAAATTACATAATTCATGAACCATAGCTTCTTGAACACCGTCGAGTTCTGATTTTATAAGAGTGATTAGGCCAGGAATTACGTAATGATCAATAAAAGCTTCATCACAAGTTTCCAAAGAGTCTGTTACGCAATTAACGCATTGTACTAATATTTCTGCGTCTTGGCAATTAATGAAATTTGTGAGAACAGACTGTGGAGTATAAACAGTCTCGTTCTCACATTCTTCCTCCATTTTTTTACAACGGCTGAATCATTGATTCACAGTTTTCTTGCGTTTCTAGTGAGATTGATAATGACTATTTGTCGTTGTAATGATTGGGTGAAGTGATTTTCACTAAAATAAAATAGAAACTCATGATGACATCACAATTAATCAAATAAGGTTTAAAAAATTAGGTAACCATTACTTATGGGCTGAGGAATTCCTAAAGCTATCAACAGTTATATTAATTCCTCACAAACAAAATGAAATTCTCAATTCTTTGATATGAGTAAAGGAAATATGTTAATATACTTTCATTTAACGATGTATTAGAAATTTTTAATTACAAATTGTATTTATTTGTAAATCGAAATATTTCCAATATTTCACAACACTATGAAGCTTTTCCTATGATGTAAATAGATTACGTATGTTTTAAGGGTAAATGCTTTCATTCATATTGACTTCAACTGAAATCATTTATTAGAATTAGACGAATAAAAATTCGAAATACGAACATAAATTCATCTATATCAGAAAATTATATGCAAACATTGCATTAGTAAGAGGAGGTCGCTTCAGTTATCATTGAATAAGAGGTGAATATTGAAATTGAAAATAATTCGAAATTTAAAGAACATAATTGCTTATTCTCAATGAATTTCTGCTTAGAAAGTCTGTGTAAGCATAGCTCGTAATAAAAATGTAAATTTGCTTTTTTTATAGATTGAAAGAGTTGTAAAATCGAATAAAAAGGTGACATTATATGGGTAGTTCTCAATCTTTTCCAAAACTTAGTAAAGAGGAAACTAAGATATTTTTAGACGGAGGATACAGCGAAATCCCATATAAAGTCCCTAAGGATAACAAAATACAAATAATTAACGCTTCATGTAACAAAATACAGAAATTACCGCAAAATTTGTCAAATTTAGAAATTTTAGTCCTCAGTGAAAATGGATATGTTGAGGTTCCTCAGCAGGTGGTCGAAGTAATTTCAACGTGTCCACTCTTGAGAATGATTTGTTTGTCTTTTAATAAATTAACTAGTCTACCGCATAGTATTTTAATGCTCAAAAGCTTAAGATGGTTAGAATTGATGCAAAATAAAATAGAACATATTGATTTTGGACTACTCGATATTGAATCAGTCGACATATCTTCAAATTACCTAAATAGACTTCCTCTATTCCCTTCAACGCTTACTAATTTCAATGTCGACTACAATTACGTTCAAAATGTCAAAATTAATTTACCAAATTTAACAAGATTTTCGATCAAAATGAATAAAGTTTCTAATTTTATATTCAAACAATCTGCTCCCTCATTAACTCGCATAGACATCTCGATGAACGATCTCCAGGAGCTCCCAAACTTCGAGGAATATTGTCCTGCGCTTGAAATTTTGGATGTTTCAAACAACTACATTAAAACATTCCCAAAACTGCCGATTTCAATTACAGAGCTTTACATTTACGATAATTTAATCGAAGAAATCCCAGAAGAAATTTCAAATCTTGAATGTCTATCAAAACTTGATGCTCATGAGAATAAGATCAAGAAGATTCCGAAATTACCTCATTCTCTTACAAGTTTGGAGCTTTACGAAAACGAAATTGAAGAAATCGAAGATGATGAGCTTCCAAACTTGTTTTTGGCCAATCTCGTTAGGAACAAAATCAAAGTATTCCCAAAGATGTTGAAGAATGTCCCTAAATGTTATATATTTAACAATGAAATTTCTGAAATTCCAAACGAAAATTTGGGAGACAAGCTTAGTTTCATCAATTTTGCGAAGAATAGCTTAACAGATATACCTCAGTCTTTGCTTAATTACAAAAATATGTCTCAAGTTCATTTTCAAAGTAATAAAATCAAGAAATTTCCAGAGGAGTTCAAAAGCATGGCACCAGAGTTCTTAGGATTATCTTTAAATCCTCTTGAAAGTGTAGATAATGTTCCTACAACTCCCAAAGTGCTTGCAATGGGATATTGCGGGATTAATTCACTTCCAACCATAGAACTATTCAAATCTTTGGAAGTTGTCCATTTTCCAGGTAATAGTTTGACAGAATTTCCTTTCATTCCGTTGTTGAAGGAAGCTTATTTGTCAAGAAACAAAATCAAGCAGTTTCCAAAGTTTCCTGAAAACATGGAAGTCATAGACCTTTCCTTTAACGAAATTGCAGATACTGCTGAGCTCTATTTCCCTATTCTCGAAGATTTGGACATATCTCACAACAGAATTTCCCAACTTTCAAACATTTCCCTTCCGAAAGTTGTTTCTTTGAAGATATCTGATAATCCCATTGCTCAAACCCTTGTATATGGCCAGTTCCCGCTGTTAGAAAATGTTGATATCTCAAATACCAAAGTCAAATTCAGCGAAAAGGTTCCTGATTCTATCAGGGAAATCATCAGCAGTGTTGGAGAACCATCCATACAAAGGAAAGTATTCCCCAAGTGCCAGTGGGTCGGAGTTTCTGAAATGAAAGGAATCAGACCAACGCAAGAAGATGCCGTTATATGTTATCCGTTCGCTCCAAATGGAATCCATATATTTTCTGTGCTTGATGGCCACGGAGGATCGAAAACTTCGAACTTTGCTGCGTGTGACTTGTTTAATAACCTTTCTAAACTTGAGAAGGTCGATGAAAATACGCTGTCAGGATCTGTATCAGCAACACTTAAATCCCTCAAAGCGCAGCACTTCAACGATGGCTCTACAATGGCATTAGCCGTAATTACACCTAATAGACACATTTTTTCATGTCACTTAGGTGATTCCAGGACCATTGTTGTACGCCGCGATGGCTCCATTAGCCATTTTACTAAAGATCACAAACCAGATGAGAAATCCGAAGTTAAAAGAGTTCTCAGTCAGCATGGATTTATTCTAAAGCACCGTGTTATGGGACTCCTTGCTGTTTCCAGCTCTCTTGGCGATTTTGAAGTGGTTGGAATCGGACATCAGCCTGTAATTAGAGAATGGGTGATAGATGAGTCCGACAAATGGCTTGTCATATGTTGTGATGGAGTATTTGACGTTCTAACAAACGAAGAAGTGGGGAAAATTTGCCAAAATGCAACATCGGCTTCAGCATTAGCATATGATATTAAGAATATTGCCTTTGAGCTTCTTAGCCAGGATAATATATCATGTATAGCCGTGGACCTTGAGAATATGGCATTCTCAAATTAATTTTTGTATTGTATATATTATATTATGTAAAAATTAATTTACTGTTTGATGTTCTTTAAATATAATAGCTTTTTTCTATTAGATTTTGAAGAAAATTAAATAAATATCTTAATTTCCATTTAAATATTATCGAAAATAGTCTGTTTTTGAAAGGTTTTTGCTGTCTACATTGTTAAATAAAAGAGATTGATACGACTGGATTTGACAAATATGAAAATTTATGAAATTTGTTTTGATGATTAATTTTTGAAATTTCACTACATTAGAATATATATCTAAAGCTATGAACATTGCTGTAGTATCTCAATGACTTGTACTATTATTTCCCTATTCTAAATTAAGATTTTACTTGGAATAAGAGCTGAAAATAGATCATCAAAAAAAATGTTGCAGAAAAAAAAATACAATTTTTTCCAACACTTTTTTGTTTTTTTAATCTCTATTTTGGATTCTCTTTTTCGACCTTTCCCTTTTATTGGGGTGATTTCTGACTATCAGAAATCGTTCCGTGATGAAGTTGACCGATCTACACCCGATAAAGATGTGATAATTCAAAAAATTAAGCAACAAGCGAAATTACTTGAAGAATCCTATCCTTCTCTCTCAAATACATATGAAAATTTAATGACCATAATAAGAGATGAATTTGATTATCTCGTAAAAGATAGCAAGCGATTTGAAATGATGCCAATAATTGGAGCTGAAAAATATTATGCCGCAGCTACAAAATCAAGCAATATTGCTTCAATGCCTCCAAATCAACTCTTCAATTACCTTGAAGAATACTTTTCATCTATAGAACCCGTAAATTACCCAGTTCTTCTTAAATTCGGTTTATCTCCAAGTACATATCCATTGGCAAAGCTGAGTATTATAGTTAACATGATCTCAAAGCAACATGAATTCGATATTGAAGAAAACGTTAAAAAAGTTACAATTTCAGAAGATGGCGCTGAAGACAACACACCTAATTCCGCAAAAGCATTTACAAGATTAATCAAATTGCCCGATCATCCCATCCAAAAATGGTGCGAAAGCTCTAAAATTACAAAATTAATTAATAAATCTCCAAACAAAACTATCTACATCAATTCATTAGGTGGACCATACATTGTGTTCGACAATTCCCAAGGACGATACATAATTGATATTGTTTCCCAAAAATATCAATTCAAGAATGAACAATTCAAAGATCTCAACGAAATCATTGACAACAGATACGTTCTTAAGAATTCTGCAATTGTCAATGGTCGTTTATTCTTTGTTGTTCTAGACAATTACGACGTCAGTATTATTTCATTCAAAAACGACGAAATGCCAACCAAACCAGGTACAGGCGAAGTCACAGACATTGGCGTGTCCACTGCCTGCTCCGGCACTTGTTTGCACGTGATTTTCGACAAATTACATGTTTACACGAATTCAAACGAAATCATTGTTTACAGTTTGACCGACATGACCATAATTGAAGAGTATCCGCAGTACTACATCTACTCCATGGTCAACTTTTCCGAGAAGGATATTTTCGGAATAAGTTACAACAACAATGAAATTTTTGTTGATCTGAGAAAGAACGAAAAAAGTGACAAATATTTGACAGTTGTCAGACCCTGTTTTGCCTTACAGTCCTACGAAGTTGTTTCATTTATTATCGATGATATTCTTATGGAAGTTACGAATTGTTTTATTTCTTTGATCGAAACAGGCAAAGCACAGTCATTTTTAGCTGCAAACGCAGCGAAACACATCGAATACATCCTCAGGATTATCAAGAGTTTGGAGAACTTCGATGTTGACAGAGACCTCAGGAATTTCCTGAATCTGATGCTTGACAGACTGTTGATATTGAACATCAGACAGATGTATTCGACAAACAAAGCCATCAATGACGAAATCAAGTCAAAAATCATTGTTTACTTGGGAAGACAGATCCCAACGTCGCCAATCAAAGACACTTACGACATGTTGATAAGAGCAGTCAAATACGGAATCTACTGGCCAAACTTAGTCAGCAGAATCCACGAGGATTATCTCAGATTCTCTGACACTCCGATTTTTGACATTTTCAAACTGCCGCAGAGTATATTTTTGCCGTTTGATATAGATATCTTTGGCTTCTGCAGCAGTCTTGAAGAGTCGGTAGAGCTCATGAACCAAAGGATCAACGACATGTACTTAATAGTCAAAAGGGTCGGAATCAAAAACGGAAATATGAAGAAACACTTTTTTGACAAAGAAATCATCAAATTTGTCAATTTTGTTTTCGAGTATATCATCAAATATCAAGCTCCTGTTACTCGTCAACTGTTTTCACTATTGTCTGTTATTCCGATGGGCCCTTATTTGGCTGATTGCGTGATCACCAACATGAACAAGATTTGCGAAAGCGGATTCATTTTCAAACTGATGAACAGAGACAAAGGATTCATGGAATTCATGAAGTATTTGTTGAATTTCGGAAATGGCAAAGATGTTCTTTCATCTATTACATTCAACACAACTATCTTCTCTCCAGAAAACATCTGCGGAGATATAGAAACATATTTCCCGACTCCTTTCGACAAAATCAGAATCAAACAGAAAGATTTCGTCAAAGGACAAGCAAATCAAAACGCTTTCTTCAACTACGAGGAATTGAACACAGAAGAAGACACAACAAATGTTGATGGATATAACTTGAGTGTTGATATAATTGGAAACAACAAAAGTTCGCAGTATTTACTTGATGGAATTGTTTCGAGATTTAATTCAAAAGAAATGCAAATTCTTGATAGAGATCGCGCGAAATACGGTCTTTTGATCTATCTCTATTCCAAATGCGTAAAAGTCTCAAGAGAAGCGATTCCTCCAACTGGAATGGAAGAAACACACAAAGAAATTCTGAGTCTGCCGATTTACAACAAGTCAAACTTAGAGCTGTACGTTTTCAATGATGAATTGAGGAAAATTGTCCGTTCTCCAGAGATCCAGTTTGGAAATGCAACTGATATATTCACAATTCTCGCTCTGGCAACAACAGAAAATATACTGAGAAGGCCAGAGAAAAGATTCAAATCGTTCGGCAGCGAAATCCAATTATTGCCTGTAAAAATCGCTATTTCTGTCATTTGGTTGTGTAACTACATAGAAGAGTTCAACGAATTTAAGAAGAATCCGTCATTGAAGTTGTTTGAAGAGAAGTTCAAAAAGATTTTGCCGAAAATTAGAAAGATAAAAGGAGATTTGATCCAGTTCAAGAAGAATGATAGTTTCGACTCAATGGTAGGTTCGGTACAGAAGAAATTCCCTATTCTGATGGACGCTGCTTTTGTAGAAAATCCAACTGAAGAAAACAGAGAAAAAAGGTTCGAAAGAGTCATCAAATTCTACTCATTTGATTTCGATAATTACGAAATGACAAAAATTGACAATTTGAAACGGCTCAAATGTAACCTACCAACAAATGTTAATACTTCCATTAAGAAATTGGTTGCAAAGCTGTTCAAATATAAGAATCACAATTTCGCCATTCCTTTGGCAAGAAGTTTAATCCAGGAACTTGATTACGATCAAATTGAACCAGATGTCAAAGGGCAAATGAAGAATTTCAATGATATCGTCATTTTCTCGCACATGATTCATGAAGAAAAGGATGTAGAACAGATCATCCAGCTGACACGAGCTGTCACCGTTCAAACCCATGAAGAAACAGATAATGTTTTGATCAACGCCAGACAAGTTTTAGGAAATATGGGTTTGGCTCTTGAGGATTGCAGACTCTGCAGAGAATCGTTGCCTATGCTCGGCAGTGAAACGGAAAGGTCTAAGTTCATCCTCCTCGGATGGGGCGCACAACATACATGCGATTACTGGCATATTTCTGACAAAGTTTGCTTCATCAGATCAAAACTTGATCCTCGCACAATCATCGAGAAAATAGACATCGAACAATTCGACGTGAGTTTGGGAGCAATGATTGCTTTGGGCGCCGAGATCTTTGACTCCGAAATCACTGGATACATCAAAGTGAAAGGAGAAACAAAGCTCGCGATCGAATGCGATGTCGACTTGCAGAGAAATTCCCAGGCTTGTTTCAAAGTCGACGCTCCGAGGTTCCCAATTGACAATGGATTGATCAATCAGATGAGTGAGTTCGTCAACGCCATCGACATGAATACAGAAGATCCATCGAAGGGAATATCAAACTGCGTCATCCTGTCATTCATGACGAAAATGTTTGACGCAGTTGCTGACAAAGAATCATTTGCAAAGAAATTTAGGAAACTTGCAACACTCGTAAAAACTTACAACGGCAAGAAAGTTCCTAATTTCTCCAACTCGAAGTACTCTTTCATCATCAGGCAGCAGCTGAATAAATTCGTAAAAACTAAGAGTTATCCTGACAGATTCGTTCCATTGACTCACTGCGTCCTATGCGACAAGTCAGGGCTCAGGGGAAGACCAGAAACAACTTCATTCTTTGTGCACACGAAACAGATTGACAATACCCACTTTCTCAAGATTTCCTTCGCTCAAATGAAGACGCAACTGAAATACATCGGATTCATCTCTGAAGACTGGGACTGCACTGTTTTGAGCCTTCTGGACAGAAACATCTACATGGACAAGAAGTTTGTTCCTTACAATGGCTCTACATCCGAAATTCGGCTTTGGATGGACGGATCCTTCCTCTGTTTCGGAAATGTAAAAGTCGACTCCGGAGAAGCAAAGAAGCGCTGGGTTTTCGTCATCACTGTCTGCGATGATTCTTTGATCAATTACGAGTACGAGAATAAAGACAATTCACTTCAAGCTGTTGAAGTTCCTCCGAAGCAGCACAACTTCGACATCAGCCAGATTTTCCCCAAAGTTTGTGTCGGAATGCAGGCGAAGATCGAAGGACACTCTAACTTGATTGTCAATAAATTGGAAGATCCATTCCTTTACATCGTCGAAGGCTGCAATTTCGAAATCATGAGCAGCGTCAGCTACCACATTCCTGCCCATCAAATCACCACTCAGTACACTCCATTCGACAGTGTAATGAACTGCGCTGAAACGCAGAATCAAATAGGAATTAAGCCGCAATTAATAAACGATATACTGGAGACATGCCAGAACTACTTCATCTCGATGATACAGACGCTTGTTCCTTACTACACGCAGGAGATAAACAGCGACATGGCTCTTTCTCTGATCACGAAACTGACTGACACTTCATCGCAGGCAGAACTCAACAGGATCAAGGAAATGATAAATGGAAAGGAGGAAGAAATCAGAGCGAAATTGGAGGAAACAGTGATGGAAGGAGATAGAAATTCGTCATTCACAGTTTGCAGAGATATCAACCAATTATATAGCTCCCAATACGGATCAGCGCAAATCGGACTTTTCCAGGCATGGAACCACAGTCTTTTCTACAGGAAGACGTTCTTGAATGGCTTGGAATTGTTCTCCAAGTACAAGAAAGTCTGTTTGGGATTCATTCCTATGATTCTCAGGGAATTCAAATTCGAACTTCCTTCGGATTTGAATTCTGCGAAGATGATTTTGAACTTCTTCAACTCCCCTGCAAACGAAGCTTATTTCAACCACATGACTGCAAGTGATTGCACTGATTATTTCAACAAATTGGTGACCTTTGTTTTCGAAAGGGATCCACAGACAATTGTCACAAAACAAGCACATTCTTCCTTGATAAACAGATGTGCAGAATCACTCATTCCAAATCTGTTTGAACTCGGAAAGAACGCAGGAAACAAAGAGAAGAGAATGCCGCCTTTGCTGTTATTCTCCGACAAAGGAGCGAAATTCTCTAAATCTGTTTATAAGCACAACAACTTCTATCCTGTTGAGATACTGCTTCCGAACGGACAAACTAAGATTCTCCAAAGTAGCTCGAGATACGAGGAAAACAAAGGATACAGATACCACTTTGGAACAAACGGAAATCAAGTTCTAAACGATTGGAAAGCATTCGTAAACGCTGATTTCTCTGATATCTACAAGCCTTTGTTAGTTGATTACATGTTAAAGAACAAAATCACTGACAAAAAGATTGGAAATTATCCTCCAATTGTTGTTTACTTCGCCTGCATCGGATTGTCATTATTAACCGAAGTCGATGATGATTACTTCGATTACTTCACTCGAGAAATGGATCCGATCTTCAATATGGTAGACAGTAACTTGAAGGTTGGCTGGCTGAACAATTTCGAAGATTGGGCTGAAGCAGGATTAATAGGATATCTATACATCGACATCAAAAAGACTCATTCGCAAGGTGTTCCCTATGATTCTCCAGATCTAATCAGAGTCATCGATTACCTCGCGAGAGACGAAGCCCATTTCCCATCAAATTTGATTGCGTTCAAGGATAAACAGAACAAGATGATTTACTTCGTGAAATACGCGAACTCAACCGGCCAAGATGTCGGTGGAATGTTCAGAGACTCATTCTTCATCATGGTGAATGAGTTGATGGACGTGAACATCAGGTATTTCATCAAGCCTCCAAACACTTTGCACTGCGAAAGAGAGAAACTGGTTCCTGCTCCAAATATGCCACTGAAAGTCGCGTCAACAATCGGATCTCTCTTGTCAAGTGCAATTGCAACGAAGTACACCCAGAAAGCATGGAATATTCCTCGCTTTATTTGGGACAGCTTCGTCACTGACGCCAATCTTTCAGACCTCGTTGACTGCGACGATCCGAACTATTTCCGCAACCTGGAAAAGATTGTCAATGCGATGAGAGAAGGATTTTGGAAGGTCATTCCTCTGGACTATGTAAGGAACTTCTCTGGAAGATTCATCGAGGGATTGTCATGTGGAAAGAAGGCTGAAATGGACTTGAACACATTCTTGAACTACTTCACTCCAGATTCAGTTATTACCTCTGTCTGGCCTGTTTTCATGGAGGCAATCAGTACATTCACTTCAGACGAGCTCTCGAAACTGATGGCTTTCATCACTGGAAATGACACTCCGAAACTGGATAGAGACTTCAGCATGAAATTGACTGAGTTGTCTAACGATGATGTTGAACAAGACGAAAACAGATTCTTGCTCCCGAAGGCTCACACTTGCTTCAACAAAATTGATATTATGCCTTTCACAAACGCAGAAATCCTCAGAGAAAAGCTGACAAAATGTATAACATACCGCTCAGACTTTGAAGATGAGGAGAGTCCATGTAGAATTATTTAAATAAATTTTATATTTTTTTTTTACCATAACTATTTTTTTTATCATATGTGATAACTAATTCCTCTTACTTCTTTAAATTATTAAAATTACCCTCAATTTTTAACTTTTGCAACTCCAAAAACCAGGTGTTTTTCCAGAACTACCATCTAGGATGAGTCCTAGGAGCTATAATTCTAGGGTTAGATGATACCCACTTAGTACTTTTATTTGTATATGTTTTAGTGGAATTTGGTGAGGGGTCATGAAATTCGTATCTAATTTGCTATCATCTAAGCTGGTAAAAGTTAGAGAAAGCTATTTACTGGTTGTATATTACAAATATACCTTGTAATAGAAAATATAAGTGTTTGTGATTTAAATTCGCTCAATTAGCTCGAAAAATTGTTTTATATCCATGACAAACTAACACAATCCTATTTATGTGATTGCCACTCTGTTCCCAAAATATATCAGCATGAATATATATATATTGATATTATTTGCAATTTCATCATTAAATAGTACTTTTTTTTCTATTTTTAATTTAGAAATAGTATATTTATATGATAGCGACACAAGATTTTAATTAAAAAATATATGTTATCGATCATCACACTCAAATTGAATTTCAAAAATTTTAGAATTTTTCAATTTCAATATTGAAAATATATTTCTTATATCATAGCGATTCATGTTATAATAATATGGAGAAAAATATTGTTTTAAATCTAAAATTTAAAATGAATGATTGGGCATTACATTAATCCAATTTATTGTTTATTTGTTAATCTAGTGGAAACAATTAATATTTTGGAGAAACAAAAATTTGAAATTTGAAATTTTGAAAAAAATGCATGAATCGGTAATTAAACATTGATTTATTAATTTATTAGCCATGCTTTTGATGTTGGTCTTATTCTTAAGCCGATTTAAAGAATTAATTTTTCCAAATCGTGTTTGACATTAACACATATAGATATATCAGGAAAAAAGGTATCACTTATCAAGTTATTGGTTTTTATGTATCTCCTAACTTTGCCTCGTTCTGAATACAATTCTAGTTAACGAATTTTAAATAACTATATGAAGAATACATCATTTTGGTTTTATTATTATTAAAATGATATATATTAGCTATGTATATGCTTGTAAGAATATTATTCCGTGAATTGGAAACAGAAAAAATAAATTTAGACAGAAAATGCATATCTTTAAAAAATAATATGAAATTTAGCTTTGATATTATTATCCGATAAAATATGCATGATAATTACTCCGCAAATAAAATTTAGGAAGCAAGTTGTGACGGTTTGGGCGGTTTTCAATGGCCCACAAGGAAGGAAGTATCGTTTTATCAGGCAACAAGAGGTCTTGAAATGAGTAAAGGACTGATCACCCTTGAAAGGTTCAAACTTGCTTGCGCGCCGCAGTCTTAAAAATGATATGTTTCACTTCTGGTCGAAAATTTCAACCTCTATGACAGTTGTTGGATGAACAATTGTGTAGCGGGATGAAATCTGAGTGCGGCCTGGGGCTGCAGCATCAATCTTCCCGGCATCTTTACCGCAATCATCTCTTAGATTGCACACAAAGTTGCGAACGAGCAGCTTTCTATGCGGTAAAGATGCCGGTAAAAGAGAGCCGTAGTGATTCTCTGCTGCAGCGTCAATCTTCCCGGCATCTTTACCGCAATCATCTCTTAGATTGCACACAAAGTTGCGAACGAGCAGTTTTCTATGCGGTAAAGATGCCGGAAAGAGAGAGTCGATGTGAGGTTCTTTTCGAGGGCTCCTCGAATGAGACACTGTTCCGCATTGATAACTTGAACGCGGAAGTTTGACCGACAAGAGTGTATTGTGCACTCCTGTCGGTCGCAGTGTCTCATTCTGGGAGACATTGCCTCTGCATGTCTCCCAGAATGGAACAATGTTCCGCATTGATAACTTGAACGCGGAAGTTTGACCGACAAGAGTGCATTATCCAATCTTTTTTGTCATATACCTCAACCCACAAAGACAAAACCTTACATAAAATAGGTAAACTTTGGTTTTCACTTAATAATGTTTATTTTTAATTTTTTGTTCTTTATATAACTTTTTCTTCTACTAAACTATTTTACAGACTCTACTGAGCTATCCTCACATATATACCTGTGACAATAACACATATATACTCCCTTCATATTCTGATCTCATGACATATTACAGCACAAACTATAATTATACAACATACCTCATAAAGTCTGATTTTACCCCTATCTAAGCGTTCAAAACCTATTTTCCCCGCGTAATCTGATTCTTCTGGCTCTGCTGATTCGATTTCTGCTGTCAGATCGTGAAAATATGCATCACACAATGAGATAAACACAAAATACACAACTTAATATTTTCCTTAAAATTTCTCTTCAAGTTCATACTGAAACAACATCTTTTTTTGAAAATACAATTTTTTCAAAAAATGTATGAATTCAAAAGTGCATACTATATCTAGTCATTACCCAACATTAATTTTGTATTTTAGTTTTTAAGATATTCATTTTATTATACGTCTTATTCAGAAAATTAAATATATTTGTGAGGGAAAACGGAGGAAATAATAAATATGTCAAGATCGAGGAATTGACAATTTTAAGGAAAATATTAAGTTGTGTATTTTGTGTTTATCTCATTGTGTGATGCATATTTTCACGATCTGACAGCAGAAATCGAATCAGCAGAGCCAGAAGAATCAGATTACGCGGGGAAAATAGGTTTTGAACGCTTAGATAGGGGTAAAATCAGACTTTATGAGGTATGTTGTATAATTATAGTTTGTGCTGTAATATGTCATGAGATCAGAATATGAAGGGAGTATATATGTGTTATTGTCACAGGTATATATGTGAGGATAGCTCAGTAGAGTCTGTAAAATAGTTTAGTAGAAGAAAAAGTTATATAAAGAACAAAAAATTAAAAATAAACATTATTAAGTGAAAACCAAAGTTTACCTATTTTATGTAAGGTTTTGTCTTTGTGGGTTGAGGTATATGACAAAAAAGATTGGATAATGCACTCTTGTCGGTCAAACTTCCGCGTTCAAGTTATCAATGCGGAACATTGTTCCATTCTGGGAGACATGCAGAGGCAATGTCTCCCAGAATGAGACACTGCGACCGACAGGAGTGCATAATACACTCTTGTCGGTCAAACTTCCGCGTTCAAGTTATCAATGCGGAACATTGTTCCATTCTGGGAGACATGCAGAGGCAATGTCTCCCAGAATGAGACACTGCGACCGACAGGAGTGCACAATACACTCTTGTCGGTCAAAGTTTTGCAATCACATTCTGATTGCAGAAGATTGTCTCATTCTGGGAGACATGCAGAGGCAATGTCTCCCGAAATGATACCGTCATACCAACACCAATTTATTCCTTCTTTCCATTGTCATACAATTCAATATTTTTATCAATCTTAATCAACTTTTTTTATTCTTCTTTAATTCAATTTATCTTTCTCCTAGAATATCTATTCCTTTAACAGACATAAAATCACTAATCGAGCTTTTTCAATACTCAAAATTTCATATAAATCTTTGTTATTTTTTCTCTCATCGCTTATTTTATTAAATATACATATTTCCTCTCACATATCCCTCTTCATATATATTGGATCTCAACACTCATCTATTAGAACAATATATTTTCGCTTAATCTCATATTATTCATTAACAATCTTTCATCTTTTTATTTCTAGTTAACCTACTAATATATATAGAATATATGCCCAATTACATATTCAGATACATTAAATTCAAGAAATTCTTCTAATATGATTCTCCTATTCATAATAAAATCATATTTAGTCTCACATCACAATTCTATCAGTTCTCCAATATCATATCATATTGGTAACATCACATATATCTCTTATAATATCACTTAAATTTGTATTTTTTTATTAATTATATTTAATTAGTTCTACATTCTATTATTATAGAGGTTTGACAAACTCATCAATAGTTAAAATCAAAATCTATTCAGAACTTTGAATCTAATGAAAATTACATTTCGATATCTTTTTGCAAGCTTAATTTTTTGTATTATCTTAAAATACATTTAGTAATGTTATGTACGTATTGAATTCAAATTATAGCGCAGTAACATGCAACTCATCTTGAGATTCACATTTCATTTTCACAATTATTGCATATATACATCAATAACATATTGTACTCATATATCTACACGACTCTAAACTCAATGACATCAAATAATGCTTGTAATATTTAAAATAATTTTTGCATTTTTGACTCTCAGCTTAACTTCTATAAATGTCACCAAAACATTTCATTCCTACCAAGAAATAATATATTAGTAATTAAGCGTTTATTACCATTGTTACTCACATCATATTAATTCATTTTTGTAATTTTTTAAATAAATGACTGGAATCATAAACCCTATGTACCCATATCAACATGTTAAAATTTCAAAGTCTGAAACTTAGTATACATTGAGTTTCATGAAATCAGATAATCTCGTAGATTTCTTAAATATTATATATTGCTGGCCAATAATGATGCAGCATGATTCTCCATCATATCAGCATTCTAAACATATCTTTATTTTGTCAATTGGCATAAATTAAGGGTGCTTTTCAGGCGATAAATGGTATTTTAGATACCTGGGGAGGGGGTCATGAAAAAGTTGCAAAAGTCAAAAATTGAGGGTATATTCTTATTTCCTAAGTATTCATTCACTTTTATTCTATCATTATAAAATGAAATGGAAAATATATATTCTCTGTCTTATTTAATCGATTTCTATTGGAATTGTTAAAAAAAAATTATTATAATTTTAAGTGTAAAAGATTTAACGAAAGATAAAAGTATTTATTATAAATATAGTATCTGTAATTAGCAAGAACAGCCTTGTTCAACAGCTCTTCCGGGCTTTGGAATTGGTTTTCCTGGCTGGCCGGCCATCTTGTTTCCAACGCGGCGAGCAGAAATAGCTTTGCACATTCTGATGAACATTTCGTGAACATTCGAAGCATTCTTGGCTGATGTCTCGATAAATGGAACACCGAGGGAATCAGCGAATGCTTGGCCCTCATTCTTGCTAACCTGCCTCTTTTCTTCTAAATCTGTCTTATTTCCGACGATAAGCTTAACAACTTGTGGAGTTGCTAATCTATCTACATCGTTTATCCACTTACGGACGTTTTCGAAGGAGTCACGGTTTGTAATATCATAAACAATTGCAATAGCGTGAGATCCGTGGTAATAATTTGATGTAATTGATTGAAAACGCTCCTGACCGGCTGTATCCCAAATCTGGAGTTTTATATTCTGTCCGTCGATATCAAGAGTTCTGATTTTGAAATCAACACCAATTGTTGAAACATAATTTTCACTAAAAGTTTGATCGGAAAACTGAAGCAGAAGGCAGCTCTTGCCAACAGCTGAGTCGCCGATAATGAGAATCTTGTAAAGAGTATCAAATTCAGCAGATGCCATTTTGTAATGGGCAACCGTTCAATTGGCGGTTATTAAATTTTACGATAAAAAATTTTTGTCAACCAGCTAACATAAAAATGAATATGACTTTGGTCGGATAAATTAATCGTATTATCACTCTTTGGGAGCTGATACTTTTAAGGAATGCATGGAAACAAGATCGGAAATTTCCGAATCTTTCCTCGATCCGTTGTATTTCTGATCATAAACAAGACATTTCATAGATAGTTGTTAAGGTATTGTATCAGTAATACTATTTGCGTCATCAGTAGAGCCATAATCATCATAATTTTGTTAATACAAGATAATATCTTACTAAAAAAAGCCATAATGTGTAATAATAATGGTCCTAATGGTGTGTAAGAGTAAAAAATGTTATATTAATAAATCGATATCTTTAGAAATTGAGATAGAAAAGAAAAAAATACTCTATAAAACTCTATATTACAACAACCTTACTGAATGAAGTATGTTGGGTTGATGAAGCGTGTATAACCTCTAGCCTTGAGAACTTCGAGTGTGTGGCTCCAGAAGTTATTCTGAAGTTCCTTGAGTTTGTTGTAGTGCTGGAAGATTGAGCAGAAGCCGTTGTTGAGAATCATGACGAGTTCAATAGCTCCGAAGCCTTGTTCCTTGCACATCTGAAGGAGTTCCTCTGAACGTGACTTTCCATCGAAAGCGCCGTGAAGAGAAGCATAGGCGACTTTGACACCGAAGTCATAAAGAGATCTAACATTCTTCTGGCCAAAGATTGGTGCTGTAGCAAGAGAGAATCTGGCTGATGGCTTGACAATGACGTCCATCTGTGTGGAAGCAATTTCCTTGAGGATTGCATCGTTCTCAGTGAGCTTGAAGCCGCCAGCAATACGTCTTGCATTTGCAGAAACAATAGCGACTTGAACAGAAGAAGCGTGTTTCTCACCAGCAAAGCAAGAGACAGAGATGTAGTTGCGGCGAAGGTACTGGAAGACTTCATCGTAGAAGTGAGCGTTTTCTTCTTCGATTTCTGTTGAGTTTGTTGCGAAACCAGCGACAATTCCTTTGTTGTTGACGCAGAGTTCAGCAATTTTCATTGCGATGATTGGAGAATCCTTTGCGATGTTTACGCCGAGAACGATCTTTGCGACGATCTTTCCTTCATATTTCTTGATTGATTCAGCAATGGCATCGATGACATCTTGTTCCTTAAGTCCATCCTTTGTGTGGCGCTGTGGAGCAACAGTAATTTCGATGTACTTGACATTGTCTTCGATTGCGTTTTCAAGAATCTTGCATGTGCCCTCGATGATGTTTTCCTTTGTCCGGAGGAGTGAAACAACGTATCTCTTGGCAACTTCGTGGTTTGTATCCTCTGGATCCATAAGGAACTGTTCGAATTCGTTGAAATCAGCGAATTCTTTGACTTTCTTCTGTGGTGGGAGCTCCTTGAAGAACTTGAAGAGTGTCTTGAGTGGGATACTTCCGATGAGTCTTGTATCTGTATCAGCCTTTGTGAGTGACTTGACGAGATCCAATGTAACTTGTGGATATGGAGCTGGGAGCTTGAATGGTTCTGGGAGGAAGATACCAATTGGAGCGTAGTAGAGGGCATTGTTCATGAGAGGTGTAACATCGATGTTGTTTTCTCTGAGAACGCGGAGTGTCTTTGTGATTGCTTCGATTCTGAGACGGCGCTTGAGTGTTTCATCAACGAATGCTGACCTGAAGCCATAATCCATCATGCGGACAAGTTCTTCGACGTTAAAGCCAAACTTATTCTGGAGAAGGAAGTATTCGCCAGAAAGAGTGACTCCGGAAACAGTGCAATTATCAGTGCATGGAACTGTAATAACACCACGCTCGAAGAGTTTCTTGATGGGATGGTCTTCAAGTTTAGCAATGGCTTTGGTCTGAACGTTGGATGAGACACAGCATTCAAGAGTGACACGACGGTCGATAACCTCTTGAAGAAGTGGCTCGCTTTCAACAATTCTAGTACCATGGCCAATGCGTGTTGCGTTGCAATCAAGAGCGTATTGGATGGACTTTGGACCATATGCTTCACCTGCATGGATTGTAACTGGAATAGCCTTGTGACGCATTGTGCGGAAGGCATCAATATGCCAGTGTGGTGGGAAACCGTTTTCTGAGCCGGCAAGATCGAAGCCGACGACGCCCAAATTTCGGAATCTCCAGGCAATGTCGGAAACTTCCTTGTTGACTTCTGGTGTCATCATACGCATGGCGCAGCAGATGATTCTGACTGTGATTTGGAGCTTTGACTGAGCCATTTGAACACCATCAACAGCAGCCTGAAGAATTTGAGTATAGGAAAGTCCTTTGCGTGTAAGAAGTGCTGGTGCGAAACGAAGCTCAAGGTATGTGACTCCATCCTTAACAGCGTCTTCGCAAACTTCATAGAAAATTCTTGTAATAGCGTATGGGTATTGCATAACATCAAGCGGAGCATCAAAGCAACGGAGATATGTGACAAGATCTGGGCAGTCCGGAGGGGCTGTGAGAATCTTTCTGAGCTCATTGATGTCTTCGGTTGGAAGTTTAACGCCTTGTTCGTGGGCAAGCTCGATGATTGTTTCTGGGCGGCAGCATCCATCAAGGTGGCAGTGGAGGTCCGCCTTTGGAAGCTGACGAATGATGTCTAGACTAAGTGACATTAATAATAATAAATTCTATTAATTCAAAAATTGAATGACATCCATTGGCCATGCAAAAATTTTACACTTTTCTGAAATACATTTATGTATAGAAGATTTTCTTACAAAATCATGTAAAAACAATTTTGTGAAGGTTATCTGAATTTGTCAGGAATTGAATCAGCGGATTTGAAAATTTTGAATTGAAAAAAGTCAATCGTGAATTTGATATTTGCAATTGCTATATGTTTAGTTGTTAAATAATGAATTGTGGAACCCATTAATTGTATTGCTCCGAACTTGAAAAATGTCTTTTCATCTGATTCGATGATTTTATTGTGCTATTTGGGCTTACAACAGGTAGATGAGCCAAAACTAGATTTATTCGCAACGATTTACTTCACAAAATTTGATGAGGTTATAAAATGTTGTTCTCTGGCGATGTAATCAATAAATTTTTGCAAGTTAAGAACAATATGATGTATTTATCAATTGAAGTATCCAATTAATCAATTTCAAGATTTTCATCCAAATCTTACTAAATAAATTTGAGATTTTTCTTGGAAATTTAGATATAAATCAAGATGATATGCATATTTTAGTTGGAGATTTTAGAAATGTCAAAAAATCAAATTTTTTGAATGGCATTGAAAATGATAATCAGGAAAATTATATTCCATTTGGACAGTGAAATACATCTTTGAACTTTGCAAAATTGAATTATGGGCAAATTTAGCTAATGGATTCTGGGAGTCTTTCTCTCCCACAAATTCTTCAGCGCCATGGTTATGAAATTGTGCGTAGTATAGGTAGCAAATGTTTTCCTTCGTGTTTACAAGTATATCATCCAAGCTTTAACGAGAATTTCGTCTGTAAAATTGTTACAAAAAAAGTTAACTTCGAAAAAGAACTTTATGCGCTCTCAGTCCTCGACCATCCAAATATAGTCCGTTTGTACTCTCATTTTGTCGAAAATGATACATATTTCCTAATTTTGGAATACTGTGATGGTGGAAATCTAGAAACGATGATAAAAAGTCGCACAAGACCAAAGCAAGATAAGATAATTAGTTACACTAAGCAAATTGTTTCAGCTTTGAAATATATTCACTCAAAAAAATTTGCTCATCATGACTTGAAACCATCAAATATATTGTTCGATAAGTATGGGAGATTGAAAATTGCTGATTTTGGACTTTCAGTTCAATACGAAACAAATTCTTCTAAGTATTTTGTTGGGAGCTACGGATATCTCGCTCCTGAACAGCGAATGAATCAAATCTATGACCCATTTGTAGCCGATATATGGTCTCTTGGCGTCACATTATACTACATGACATGCGGTTATAACCCATTTCTTCAACAGAAAAATACTTATAAGTATTTCATCCCGATGTACGTTGAAAAGATGATCGCCGATATTATATCAGGAGCTTTAGAAATAGATCCGGCAAAGAGAATTAACATCGACGGAATTCAAGCTATATTTACCGCAAAGCCAAGGCTAACTATACCTTCAAACTCCTGGTATAATATTCCAGTTACCGATAGTCTTAAAGTTCCAACTCCAATTTCACAGCTCAAGCATCGTAAGAGTACGCTCCTTAATTTCTAATGTTCTGAAGCAACCATGCGATAGCTACAATTTACTACCCTTTCATTTATCCTTTTACTGATTTCTATATATTGCTATACTGTTTTATTTGTTTATTTACTAAATTTATCATGTATTTTTATGAACTATATGGTTTTTATATGTAAGGAACTGCTTTCATCTATATCATCTGAAAAAAAAAATATAATAATTTAGGAATACTAAGTTTGAATCCATTTTTAATGGAGAATTTTATAATATTTGGCTATTTTACAAGATTGTGTATTTCCAAATTTTTTATAAAAATCATTTTTTATCAACAAATTTATACTTTTTCAAATTATTTTTGATTTTTTGAATTTTTTTTTGGAAAATTAAGTGGATGATATACAGGCAATATAGCATTAAAATGACTCAAAAAGTGTAATATTGCAACTATGTAAAGTAATCTTGGCAATTTGCTTTTAAATTGAATTTTATTTCTTCCAATCTCAAGTTAAATCCATAATAAAGCAGTTTTACAGGGATAAAAATCGATACTATAACAAATACATATCAATTATACAAACAATTTAATACATATACAAAATATTAAAACAATATTTGCACTAATCCTTACTCATTTACAGGAACATTAGTATTTTGATCTTTATCAATATATTTAAGTAATTTTGAATCGTCCTTTTTCTTTTCTTCTTCAATTATTTCCTTCAATAACTGGTGGTAACGTCGTGTTGTAATCCACATCTTATCCCATGCGGCATTAACAGCTTGTTTATCATTCATTAGAGGTGAACTTCCCGGATTGGTCAAAACATGAAGTAGATCTTCGAATCCTTTTTCTTTCAACACGTTTTTATGGATTTCGAGAATTCCTAAGCCAAATGATAATAAAGGTGGAACTCCAAAAGCTAAGAATTGCTCAAAAATAAATGTTGAAAGCTCTAAACCAAAGTTTCCAGAGAGAAAACAAACCATTAGCCACATTGGGGTAAAAAGGGTACAATCTAGCCTTCTTTCTTCAAGGGCTTCATAAATATCTGGAAAATTTTCATGAATTAGACGGGTAACTAGAGCTTTGAGTAAGTTTAGCTTAGGAAAATCTTGAATAAAAAATAATCTATGCGGTAATGATGATTGAAACATTAAAGAGTAAAAGGACCAAAATGCTTGTTCTTCTGGCTGATATATTAAGAACATTGAAGCAATAAAATTCATTCCTTGGGTATAACCTAATTCTGGGTCTACATTAGCATATGCGTTTAATATTCTTGATAGTTCGTCTCTAAACTTTTGAGAAGTATCGTTTGTCCAGCTTGGCATTGTTCTGGGTACATCCAACGAAATTATATGGGATGAATTCGAATTAACTTTATCAATTTGTTCATATGTAAAGTTTGCTTTGCTTTTCACTACTTTTTGATTTGTTAAAAGAGCCCATACATCACCTCTATATTTTGTTGGAACTCCCAATCTCAGAGAACGAATAATTAACGATCGTGATTCTTTCATCAGCGTATCCCAATTCTGAATAATATATTTCCAATCTCGCAGATGAGTCAAATCACGAGACTTATTGGGATTCATTATTGAAAAAATGATTTTAATGCATAAAAACATAATAGAAACTATTCTCATACCTTTCTATAAAATAATTATGGCATCCGATAAAATTTTTGTTAGTTATCAGATTGTGGAAAAATGATCGCAATGTAAGATTAAAAGATAAAGAAAGAGTTGTTAGTATTTCATTAAGTGTATATTCCTCTCTGTAGTTATGAATGAAATTTTTGAGATTTTGTTATTGACCATCTGAAATCGATGGATATTTATATGCAATCAGATAAGAAAAGATCTAACATCATTAGTATTGCTTATTTATATAATCTTAATACCGAAAAAAAAAGTTGGCAGGAGGCAGATGCCTTAAGGGCAAACCCAAATTTTAGCTAAAAGTGACAGGAAAAAAAAACGTTTAGTATTAAAAAAAAAGACCGATGAGAGCTTCGTTCGAAATATAGAGGGAACTGAGAATGCGCAACCATTCTCAGGGAATATTGGATGCTATTCCCGTTCCCTCTGTATGGAAAATTGAGGTTTTCAAAGGGAGTTAAAATAATATCAAATTTATACTAATTTACTTCAAAATACAAAAGTATTTAACAGCTAAAATTAGTTACTTTAGCAAGCCTATCAATACCCTTTTACGATTATTGTTACTTTTTCGAAATAAAAGTAAAAACAAATTTATACTAATTTACTTCAAAATACAAAAGTATTTGACAGCTAAAATTAGTTACTTTAGCAAGCCTATCAATACCCTTTTACGATTATTGTTACTTTTTCGAAATAAAAGTAAAAACAAATTTATACTAATTTACTTCAAAATACAAAAGTATTTGACAGCTAAAATTAGTTACTTTAGCAAGCCTATCAATACCCTTTTACGATTATTGTTACTTTTTCGAAATAAAAGTAAAAACAAATTTATACTAATTTACTTCAAAATACAAAAGTATTTGACAGCTAAAATTAGTTACTTTAGCAAGCCTATCAATACCCTTTTACGATTATTGTTACTTTTTCGAAATAAAAGTAAAAACAAATTTATACTAATTTACTTCAAAATACAAAAGTATTTGACAGCTAAAATTAGTTACTTTAGCAAGCCTATCAATACCCTTTTACGATTATTGTTACTTTTTCGAAATAAAAGTAAAAACAAATTTATACTAATTTACTTCAAAATACAAAAGTATTTGACAGCTAAAATTAGTTACTTTAGCAAGCCTATCAATACCCTTTTACGATTATTGCTACTTTTTCGAAATAAAATAAATTTATTATCAAAAACCTTTTTTTCTTAGTAAAAATAAACGAAATTTTTTACCTTATGAACTTTTGATGGAAATATGCAAATTTAAAATAATAAAGAAAGCCGCGAGCGAAGCGATCGGCTTAGTTCGAAGATTTTGATTCAAATCTTTGCTGATCTGTAATTCGCGGAAGCCGCGAGCGAATCGAGCGGCTTAGGTCTAAGATTTTGATTCAAATCTTTGCTTATATTCCTTAAATTCTTTATGAAACTCGCAACAGTTCCATAAAAAATTTTAAATTCTAAACTGTCGAAATTACCGATCGGTAATCACACCCTTCACGGGTGTGTCACTTTTAGCTAAAATTACCCCTACTCGATGCCTTAATTGCTGGAGATTCATTCCAAAATAAATATCTTCAGCAATATCAGGATGTGGTACATGTTAAAAAACAGTTTCTAAGAGTATTTATTCGTTTCTCCTAAATACAGTTCAATTTTCTTTCAGTTTCTCTATCAATTATTTCCGATAATAATTTCTGATAAAAGTTAATAAATTCGTAAATGATACTGAACTTTAATTTCAAAAATGTTGATAGTTTTATCCAAAATCTTCAATTGTATGATTCAGTCACTTTTTTAGACAATTGCATACGTAATATATATGATACTTTATATCTAATTTACCAATTATGGCTAATTCAAACCAATTGAATTGATCAGAATGAGGATTTTAAAAATTTATAGAATATTATTAATAGTATAATATTTAAGCTATCCAATTTAAATTTATTTTCATTTAATTTAAAATAATTTGAGAAGAATTGAATTTCATATTCAATAGCTTACAAAAGCTTTTTATTCAACAACACCGCCAAATCAATTTTTATTCGGTGCAATACTAATGATTCTAATAGTACTGAATTGTAAAACTGCCGATGAATTATCTGAAACCGATGAAATCAAGATAAAAATAAATTTCTGTTAGGTAAATGATTCACCCATACAACCATACGTAAAGTGATCGCGAAATATAGAAGAAACGATGATAATAAAATTTTAACCCATTTTTCCTACCAAAAATATGATTTCTATAATCCTTATATAATTGTAACAATATTCTTCCAAATTTTAATTTTTGAATAGAATTTCATTGATTTGACAAAAATCATCAATCAATGAACATTCCATGGAAAAAAATCTACTGGTGGCTAGAAATGCTAGTTCCTATCATCATTGCATTTCCATTCATGTTCAAGTTCGTTTACATTGACAAGAATCGTCCGAGTGCCGGACCTTGTTTAGCTGTCACAATTATCACTGCTGCCTACTGGATTTTTGAACCAATTCCAATCGTTATCACTGCATTCATCCCGATCTTCCTTCTTCCGTTCTTTACCGTATCAACGGGCCCTAAGATCGCTGCATCCATGTTTACTGATACTTCTATTGTCTTCATTGGCGGTTTTATTTTCTCAATTGCGATGGTTAAATGGAACCTCCACTCCAGAATTGCATTGAAAACAGTTTGTATCTTTGGACTTAGACCAAATATACTCTTATTTGGTATTCTAGTAGTTACAACTCTTCTTTCGTTCTGGATCTCAAACACTGCATGTGCACTGACAATGACTCCGAATGCAATTGCGATCATCACAAAGCTTGAAGAGATTACTGGAGATCCAGAAGCGATTGCTCCTTTCGGAAAGGCACTTCTATTGATGATTGTCATGACATGCTCAGCTGCTGGTATGATTACACTTATTGGAACTCCTCCAAACCTTATCTTGGCACAGACAGTTCAAAATCTTTTCCCAGGTGCCACAGAAATCGGTTTCGCACAGTTCATGTTCGTTTCTCTCCCTGTATCAATGGCTATGCTGATCCCATTGTACATCTTCTTCGTCATTTTCTACACAAGAAAAGTTAAAATCCCAGATAGTGTTACAGCCGATGATTTCAAGAAGTCTTACGAGAAACTCGGAAAGTGGTCTCCAGCTGAAATCATTATTACCGTCATGTTCTGCATTCTTGCTTGCATGTGGCTCTTCAGATCAAACATCGACTTCGGAAAGTCAACAATGAAGGGCTGGTCAACACTCATTTACGGTAGCAAGGGCTCTTCATACATCAAGGATGGTACAATCGCCATTTTCCTCGCTATTCTCTTCTACATCATCCATGTCCCACCTCCTCCGGAGAAAAAGGAAGGTGAAGACGAAGTAGATCTCGAACTTCGTGCAAAAACATCAACAACAAACCAGCACCGTAATAATGAAGAAGAAGACGGTGAACTCGACAACGTAAACGATACTCCAGAAGAAGACATCGAACAACTATCAATCACTGATTCAGCCGAGCCACAAAAAGAAGAGAAAAAGTGGGTTCCAATTTTGGATTGGGAATACACCCAACAAAAGATGCCATGGACCATTCTCTTCTTGTTCTCTGGTGGCTTTGCTCTCAACCAAGGCTTCACCGATTCAGGTTTGGATGTCTGGATCGGCGAAAGATTGGGAGGCCTCACAAACATGTCATTATATCCACTCGTTCTTGTTATTACATGCACAACAATCTTAATGACAAATATTGTCGCTTCAAATACAGCTGTCGCCAACATTTTACTTCCGATTGTCGCATCTGTCGCTAAATCATCAGGAAAAATACATCCATTCCTTCTCATGTTCCCAATAGCTTTCGCTTGCTCGTACTGCTTCATCATGCCAGTCGCTACTCCGCCAAATCTTATCGCTTACTCTACAGGAAGACTGAAAACACTCGACTTCATCATCGTCGGAACATTCCTTACTGTGGTGGCAATCATAGTCGTTCCACCGCTTTGCGTCTGGATTATTCCTCCAGTTTTCAATGCTGGTGAATTCCCGGCTTGGGCTAATGCGTCCTCGTCTACAAGTTAGTTATTTGTTTCTAGCTATAAAATATATTTTAGACATTTATAGTTTTTTGAAAAATATAATTCAAAATGGATTTTTTTATAGAATAAACTTCGAAAAGATTACTTGGCTCTTTGAGGGCTAAAAGTCACATTTACATTACTTTTGGACAATGATTTTTGAAATCTCTCAAAGTAGTATATGAGTGCGGGTTGTGTGACTTTTTTTGTAAACGTAAGAATTCATACAATATTGAACGATTTCGTATCATTTTTTTTTACATATGAAGTAAAAAATGTATGATTCTTACGGTTTTTATTCTTACGTTTTTGAATAAATCAAGATTTAAAAATTTTCAAAATTGTAAGACATTTACACTCAGCTCATAAATGATGTAATAAACACATTAAAAAAAATTAACATTAATTTTAAAATAAACTTCTTACGAAAAATTAAAACTTAGTTATGTTTATTATTTTATTTTTTAATTCGTAAGAAATGAACGGAACAAGATTCGTGACTGTGAATCAATTAATGGATAAACTTTCACCAATTCTCACCCAGGTTAAACAAGTAGACGTTTATTTTGATGATTACGTAGAAAGTTTATTTTATAAAGGTAAGTTTAATATTAAACCTATTGCTTTTGCATTTGATGGTAAATTAATCGAAAATTCAAAAATTTGGGAATTAATTCCGGATATTGAATTTATAACAAATATTAAGGATAAGTGGTTTAAACAACAAAACCACCTCACTAAAGTTCTTTGTAGATTAATGATTAAAACTGAGGAAAAAGAATTTAACAGTTTTAAATATCATCCATGTAAAATTTTAGAACTTGGTAACGAAAAACTTCAGAAAAAATTAAACGCAAGACTATCAAAAGATAGAATCGAAAGAATAAATAAACTCGCTATTGGTAATTATGATGATGAAGAATTTGATGAGTTCAACATTGAACTTTAAGAAACTAATGATTATTTGAATTTATGAAATCAATTATTTGATTCATTCTTTCTTCAATCTCTTCTATTCTTTTTGTTAAATCATCAATTTTCATTAATGAGGTGATTCTTGATTGAGGAATAGATTTCAAACTAACCACTCCTTTTATTTTTGAAATTTTGAATCCATCAACTTTAAACATTTTATTCAATTTACATGTTGTCAATTCTTCAAATAATTTTTTATTATTAGCATAATAGTCATTAAATTCTTCAACAGATGAAAAAATTTTTATTTCAGTAATTGGTTTAACAACGTTTATTTTTTGTTGAACATTTTCACTTTCATTTATTTCTTCCTCCGTTTCATTTATTTTTAAAATCGGTTTCATTTATCATTAAATAAAAATTAGAATATAAGTGATGAAATATATTTTTTTAATTAATATTAAATCAGAAATGGCGGCAGGATTCTTTAAAAAATTAGGGATGGAATTAAGAAAGCTGCGGGTTGGGTTTATAAAAAGATTATTAAACCCGTTGCAAACTTTTTGGCACCAGTAGCGAAAACGGCAGGAACTATCATAGGTGGAGTATTAGGTACTAAAGCAGGTAATCCGGCGATGGGAGCACAAGCAGGTAACGCAGTTGGTGGAATTGCTGAAGGAATACTTAATAAAATAGGAGGTAGATAGTGGAAAAATAAATTATTTTAAAATTATTTTTATCTTAGTATCGGTTGTAGTCTTTGATAAACTTTTTCTCCTTTATTTAAAACTTCTCTTATTGGGGCAGCTTTTGGTGTTATTGATTCAGCAACGTCACTAATCGCTTCTTTATTCTTAAATATCCAATTTGCTCCCTTCTTCAATGTTTCCCAAACTTTACTCGCTCCTCTTTTTACTTTATCCCACAGTTTCTTAAATATACCTGCAGCCATAGTTGATTATTTCATTAAAATTAAAAATTCATTTTCATCTTTTAATTTTGATTTTTTATTTATTAATAAATGACGACTAACTATTTGGTGCCAAACACTAAACCAATTAATGGAAATGTGTTTCATTCATTCGAAAAGATAAATGAAATATTCGCAAAGAATGACGGTAGAAGATATTATAGAGAACTTGAAAGTTCATGCTATGACTCTGATGCTCCATATTTTGATGATAAACAAACTCATTTAAGAATTACAAATCCGGCTCATGATGTGAACCAATTAGGTGACACATATATTAAACGCAAAGTTAAAGCAACTCTAGTTTCAAATAAAGCTTTCACATGTGATGCCGCTTTTAAATGCATGCGTTTATTCGTTGGTTACAAATCATCAAATCAAAGCTTTAAACAATTAGAAGTGGAAACTGAAAGAGGTGATGCCGGTTATCTTCAGATGGATTGCGCCCGTGAATCTTTCGCATTTGCAATATAGATCCAAGGTGATGTGATTTTTGCATCCCTGGGATGGACGATACACCCAAAGTGTCACCTTTTTTGGGATAACATGAATTTTAAATATCATGAGAGTTCTGCAAACCATATGCACAATATCTATTCAGCCTGACTTCTTGTATATATGAGTTAGACTTCTTAAATATTGTGCTTGGGGCGATATAAGTATTTCCGAGATTACCATCGTGCTCTATAGTATGCTACTTCTCCCTGGTTCTAGCTCAGTTCCAAGGATATTGGCGTTCAAGGATTTGGCAAGGTCCTTCCGAAGTCTCTCATTCGATGAGAGATTTCGGAAGAATCTTGCCTTAAAGTACTCCAACTCTTGTTCTTTTGTTCCTAAATAGTGAGAAAAGTTATTTGACTACTTAAGGTAGAGATTATCCGAGGTCCCTCATTTGATGAGAGGCCTCGGATAATCTCTGCTTTAAAATTGTACACTTGTAGTCCATGAGAGTGTAAGTATACATTGATAGGACAGCTTTCTTCTGAAGTCTTAGATTTGATGAGAACCTCAGAAGAAAACTGTCCTATTTTATAGTAAAAGGAGTTTCAGGAGCTCCAAAGCTCCCTTTCGTAAGGATTAGGAGCTTTGGAGCTCCTGGTTCGTAGATGTGTTTCGCATCTTTCATCAGCAAAGGACATTTACCATCTGGGACTCTGTTGATGGAGACTCAGGAGCTCCAAAGCTCCCTTTAGTAAGGATTAGAAGCTTTGAAGCTCCTGGTTCGTAGACGTGTTTCGCATCTTTCATCAGAAGAGGCCCAAATGGTAAATAGCCTCTGCTGATGAGCTTCAGGAGCTCCAAGACTCCCTCTCGTAACGATTAGGAGCTTTGTAGCTCCTGAAGGTAAGGTAGGATTGCTCTGATCTCTAATCAGTAGATGCCATGCCTCATTATGAACTCTACTGACAAGAGATCAAGAGCTCCAAGGACTCCTTTTTTAGTTAGTGGCGTTCTCACCATTTAGTAGGATTGCTGATCCTACTAATGAAGTGATCACTTAGTATACGTTTTGAATAAATTGAATTTTTTTAAGAATTTAGTATTTTTTATAGACATCACATGTATATTATAAATACATAAATATATTCTTTAATTCAAAAAATTCAATTCGGTTTTGGGATGGGCATCCCAGCCCCAAGTATTCAATTTTATTCAATTTTTAAAGAATTTTGGGTTGGGATGCCCAGACCAAAACAAGCTTTATATTTTGATGTGTAGATACGTATGTGTGCATCATTGTTGTGTTATATATTATGTTTTTAATGAAAAAAATCTGATTCAAAAAAAATTATCACTAATTAGTTGATAATATAAAGAAAAAATAGATAAATTGTATGTTTTGAGAGTATTTATCCACATTCACTCATATGAATTTCATTAAATAGTGTCTTTTTACTCCCAAATTTATTTTGAATTATTGAAATCAAAGAAAAAAAATCAGAAAAATTTCTCGAAATTTTTATTTTCAAAAAAAATTTGGATTTTATATTGAAAACTGACACTGGGAGGACGATAGGGCTGGGATTGGAGATACCCCGCTCACTTGGGAAAAATACGGATCTATATTTGCAACATATAAACCGAAATCAGAAAGGAAAGTTAAAAAGTTTGTTCATTCGTTATATAATAATGTTCAAAAATATGATAACTCAGTATGTGGTAAATATATTGACCCTTCAGAAGTTTTCAAGAAAGCAAATGAAGAAGTTGATGTCACTTTTGATATGATTATTCCGGTAAATGATTTGTTAGCATTTCAGGCGTTCGATGATTATCCTAACTCATTTGGTGATATCATTCTTAAATATTATGTTTTCAGGGATACTTTAGTATTTTGTCAGGTTGACCCGTTAAGAGTTGCTGATTTACAAAATTACGTTTATGAAAAGATAACTGATGAAAATTATGAAAAGATTATGAATCATGTTTATAAATATGATCGCAAATTCCAACAAATCGGACTTCCTGCCAAATTAATTACAAGCTTAGTCGCTACATCTGCTGACGCAACAGTTGATGACGTTATTATTTCATGCACAAAGATGGAAGTTTTAGAGGATAAATGCATTACACCAGGATACGGTTTAATTGAAGAATCAGTTAAAGCAGTTAGTATACATATCAAGGGTACGGAGGCACTGCGCGCCTCCTTACCCCTGATATGTGAATTTGACACTTTACAAAACCGTTAACATATATTTTACAACACAAACGACAACACTAACTTAACCTTAAATATTTACAAAGCCGCCAACCACTTCACCTCACTAATGTAAAAAATAAACGTTCTCACTTACAAAAGTATTGCAACTCCTCCCATTGCTGTGCTTCATATAACAGCTCATAATCTTCTGACTCACTTTCTTCTTCATATAGGTCAAAATCACTGTCAAAATGAATGTTAGTAAGTTTTGACAAAGCTAATGAAACACGTTTACCGTTTGTATCGTATGCTTGTATAAACTTTCCATTATGCTTGTAGTCATAAACGCTCAAACTAACTTTACCCTTTCTCCCTCGTATCTGATAGAATGTATTTTCACGAGGAACGAAGAACAAATTCTTGAACTCATGACCGTTGTAGTTTGTTATCTCAATAGTTTTCGTCATTTATATAAAAATAAAATAAAAATAAAATAAAAAATAAACTTAAAAATAAATGATCTCACCACCCTCACACGTATGAAAACATAGCACAAAAATAAATTTAGGTGAAGTGGTGAGATCTCACCTCTTTTTTCACCCACTTGAATTCATTGCTTTATAACTCTCTTCCTTTCTCCAACTCTTCTAACTTCTTCTTAAGTTCACCAATGTTGTCCTCATGAAGTTTAATCTTTCTCAAAATTCCTTCTTTATCTAATGGTTGCTTTATCTTTCTAAACTGAACTCTACCATCCTTCATAGTATGAATGTAAAAACCTTCTGGAATAGTTCCTGATTTAATGTATTCTACCAAAAACTTTTGTTTCATTGCTTCAGTGACTTTATTTGTCATTTCAATCAAATAAAAATTTTAATATTAAATAAAAATAACGTTATTTTTTCAGTAAGGAAACGCAGGAGTTTTACGATTTATTTGAGGAGTAGGTTCTGGTTTAAATGTTGGAGTCGGTTTAGGAGTTGACTTTTGAACAGGAGTTTGTACTTCCATAGGTTCAGGAGTCATTGAAGGTTTTGCTTGTGAAGGTGTTGGTTTTGGCGAAGGTGTTGGAGTTTGTTTAACTTCAGCTACTTCAGTATTATTTACAACATTTGCTTTGTTTCTTTTCAACATCATAACTGCTCCTGCTGTAGCTAGCAAACCTAGTGGGAGACCATATCTTATATAAGGACTTGACCAAATGCTATTTTTGACAGGAGCTGGTGGAACACCTAACCTTGGTGAGACTGCTCTTTGCCATTGTGCAGCTCGTAAGAAATATTCAATAGGTGCTCCATAATCGTTTGGTAAAGTTTGTTTCATAGATGGTGAAGGTTCACGAGAGCTTGATGAAGAACTCATTTATAAGCTTTAAAAATAAACGTTCATCCTTTATTCCTCACTGTCGTCCGTAGCTAAGTTATAGTCATCTAATCTTATTATTGGGATGCCATTAGCACGCACCTGAATGGCAAAACAACAATCCCTCATAAATCCAATAAGTGGCTTTGGTACGTTTTCAGTTGCTAGTTCAATAGGTCCTTTAACAGACAATTTGTATGTTATTGGAGCAGTAGATGTTTGACCTTGCTGGAAGCAAAAGTCCACTTCTGTTGGAAAACCACATAAGAAATGTGTGTTGTCATAGCTATCCCATTTATGTTCTACACTACCATCATCCACCAATGACCTCATAACATCTTCATTAAATCCTATCATATCATTGTTTGTATTGCAGGCGTTCGCAACCATTTCATAAAATACAGGTCCATATGATTTTTCGGGTTCTGCAGGCATATTTCCATAAGCTCCCATGGAAAGCTGAAGATATTTAAACTTAGGGTTCTCAAAATTAACATAATAGTTGTCTTTCTTTCTAAATAGTGCCCAAATACTTTTAACATTAATAGGCGTATAAGCTGCTGTAAATGTTGCACTTGAACTATCTGTATTCTTTGAGAATGAACCATCCATAGGAATCCAATCCATAACTTTAACAGGAAAACATAAAGCCTCGTTTGTATAATGTTCTACAAGTTCTGTATAAATGTTAGGGTCTAAAGAGAATGACTTTGGATGAATAAAACATTCATTAAAATCCATCTTTATTCGAAATAGTTGCTGGGTTACAGTTGTAATAGTAACTGTTCCACTAGCTTCTACTGCCTTCGTTATCATAGTGAATGGTTCATTCCATGGAACAAATTTATTTGTCGGTGGATTTGAATCTGAAGCAAATGCAACTTTAAGAGTTGGATTGAAAGCAATGATATCATTTACAGATATAGATGTGCATTGTAAGGCGTCGCTACTGAACTTTACTTTAAGCTGAATGTTTCCTGCAAAAGCTGGAATAAATCGAATAGCTTCTAATGGAAGGAATCTTCTAACAGGAATTCTTAAACGAAGCTTAAAATCAAATGATTTTCCTGCTGTAATTGGACCACTAACAATTTGTCCTGTTCTGCATGTTCCCGAATGACTCCATACATCTTCATGTCGAGTCTTTGAGAAAACATCTACTTTCTTTATTTGTTCGGTAGTTTGTGAGTTTGAAGTTATATATGCTTCTTCTCTTGCGTTGTCTTGAGAATATACGATACGACCATTTGCAAGGATTTGATATCCAGCAACTGCATAGAAAGCGTCATCGAAACCAATCCAAAATCCTGGTGGTTGTTTTTTGGAACCTGAACCAATTTCTTTATCTACAATAAATTGACCTTCCATTTTATACGTAATGAATGTATTGTAAAGGTCCAACATATTTTCACCAGGAGGTGAGAGATTGAATGTTACCCATGTTTATTTTAGCAGTTCCAGGTTGTGATGGAATCTTTGCGTCAGAATATTTTCTATTAGTGTCACCAATTTGAACTGCATTGTCTATGATATCGAAATATAAGCGAATCTGATGAATTGCTCTGCTGGAGTAAATTCGTTTAACTGTTCGTTCTGCATGTCTTTGATTCGGATAAAAATATCTATTTACTTCATTATTCTCACTCTTCTTCTTGGCATTCGTGTGGAAGTTGTTTTTGACATTTTCAATGAACTGTACATTCTCTTTTGTCTCAACTTCTTTCACTGGCGGTCAGGATTCTTTGACTCGGTTTGTTTTTCAATGAAATTCACGAACTTTGCAATAAGCTCTTGGTTCGTTATTGAAAGTACATCTGGCTTCTTTTCTTCTGGTTCTATTGACTTTTCAGTTTGAATAGAAGGCTTAACATGGACTTCGTGGACTTCACCCTTGCACACCTTAATGTTGTCGCTTTCTGCATTCGCTAATGGAACCTTTCTTTTTCTTACGTATATTTTACCATCTTTACCTGACTTACGTAATAGAAAGGATGTTTCCTCTTGCGTCATTTAATATAATAGACTTCGCTCTGATTTTGACAAGCTCATTTTACATCGGTTAAAGTTTTAATTTTGTTTTTTATCTGCAGTCAAATGACTCAGACAAGCCCTACGGACAAGACCCAAGGGGTCATAGATGTTGAAGCATTGAAGAAAGAAATTCGTGAGCAAATTTTATCCGAACTGAAGGAACAAAAACAAGAACAAAAGCCAGAGGACCAAAGAGAAAACTTAGTGAAAAACAACTTGCTGGCATTAGCTGCTGGACAAAAGAACCCAAGACTACTGCGAAAAAAGCTAGAGAAGAAGCTGAAAAGCTAAAGAAGCTGAAGCAAAAGCTAAAGAAGCTGAAGCAAAGAAAGAGTAAATGGTTTATTTTTATCCGAATTAAATGTATAGACAAATACCTTTATCTGTTGCGTTCAGTAGTGAAAACCCTGACGTCAAAATAAAGGGGAACAGAGTAACGTTTAAGTTTCCAACAGACTGGATTGTGAACATAAATGAAGAGAAGTACATTGGCATAACATCTATGTATATAACACGTGCTTTCAGAAAGGTTGACTTTATACTTCAAGTCGAGATAGAAAATGACGAACAGTCTTTAAGCGCCCAAAACATTCACATATACAAATACTTTAAAGACGATACAACATTGCAACAATGTATGATTTCATTTAATGAGATGTTCGAGAAAAAGTTCAACATTGAAGTACAAACTTTACAGCCTTTACGTGAGTTTCTTGCACAACTGAAAGAAGAAGGTAGTCAGCCACAACTTATAGACTTTCATTATGAATTTAATGAAAATGAAGATGGAACACATGACTGTCAGTTTGTTGTATTCTCACCATTCAATGAAGTCGCTAAAGAGAAAGAAAATCCATTACGTATAAGATTTCAAATCTCTGAACCAAGTGATGATTTCAAGAATGTTTTCAATTATGATGCAATGCTTCCGAGGAAAAATGAATTTTCAAAGATTGTAACACCTGGCATTTGGGATAGAAAGCAAGCTATATTATATTCAAACTTAAGTAAGGGAGTTGAAAATGAGTTCATTGGTCATACAAGAACTTCACCACTTCCTAACCCTAAATACTATAAATTAACTGGCTTCAATCGTGAGTTTTGGATAGACATGTTCTCCACTCATGACCATAACTGCCCAGTGTTCTTACCTCCAGACCATAAGGACTGTCTCTACATTGAAGCACAACTCTTAAACTCTACCATCGCAGTATTGTAAATGACCACATGGGCTTCACCCTTGCCGCTAGCGGCTTATTTTTATCATGAATGGTCTCACTGCTGACAAAAATAAATGACCTCATTATTTTCTCATTCATGACCTCAGAACTTAAGCTTTCTTATGAATGAAGTCTTAGTCTGAATAGAAAAGTTAAACTTTTCAGCAAAGCAAGGTTGACACGACTTACATAAGTCGAATGCAATCTCTTGACCGTCATAAAGTGCTTTATATAACTTCATAACACTGAACTCAGAGTCTTTGTCAAATTTTCCTTGCGGAACCATTAAACCTTTATCTTCATCATAGAAACACTGAACAGAGTCAGGAAACATTTCATTAGCGGTTAAAGCAATAACATCTTGCTTCACGCCTTTCATTCTGCAGTGAAATGCAACTTCATTTAAATCATTCGTGAGTAAGTCTATGTAAGTCTTCTTTCCACAAAATATTGACTTGTATGCTAAACTTTGTTTATCTTTTGTGATTTCTGCAAAGTCGCTATGAAATTGACCAAGGTTTTTACCAATGAGAACTCTTCCATAACGTTTCTCAAACTCTTCAGCTAAACGAGGGATATCTTCATTGTAGAGATGCATACTGTCCGTATCGCTATAAAAGATGTCCATTCCTAAGTCCTCAGCAGTACAGAATACTTCACACATTATTCTCTTCGACATAGACAGAATGTTAACACCAAGTGGACAGAAGTTAAAGTGTCTGCAAATGCTTTTCGTTAGCTTGAAAATAGTTTTATCTGAACCATCCAAACCTTCGAACTTCACTATATGGTTGTAGTTTCTGATGGCATATCTTATAGCATCTTTGTCATTTACTATGGTTATTTTTGACTCAATAGGAGATAGAATAGTTTTGCCATAAATACTGTTCAGAATGAGCTTTATATTTTCTTGCAAAGGATTTCCTTCTTTCTTATACTTTAACCTTAACTCAAACAACTTCTTTACTTCATCTCTTATTCTAATATCTCTGTTTCCATCGTAATAGTATCCTTGCAACACTTCACATTTGACACCTTGATATTTTATGAGGTCTTGTAATGTTATATGGTCAACATACATTAAACAGCAAGTGTTTGAACTTCTGGGAACGTTAAGTTCTGGATTTAGTTCAGGGTCACAAACTATTAAAGGAAAGTGTCTATGTATTCCAATCTCTGTTATCTTAATGAGAACAAAGAAGCCAGACATAAACTTTTCACCAATGGGTTCCTTTTGGTCGTCATCGAATAAATGTCTCATGAGATACTCTGTGCTTAACATTTCTTTCTTCATAACCTTTGGAATACCTTCTAAAGTATAAAGTCTTGCTATAGCTGATGGATATAATGAAACAGCGTCGAAATCAGCAATGAGTTTCTTTTCGCTCTTTTGTTTAATGTTATCTGACAGCATACATCTTCCACCTTGAATGCAGCGTGAAATAAATTCTCTTGGTTTATTTGAGAGGTCATATAAATTTCCATTCGGGAAGTACACTCTGTTCTCAAATAATTTGTTAGCAATTGAACAAATACTAACGTAGTCATAAACGTTTAAATCAAATTCTTTCAATATGTCATTGCGGAACTTAACAAAACCTTCTCTTAAAATTCTTACATCTTGTTTGCAATAAAATGTGCTATACTTTTCTAAGTCGAAGTGGTTCTCATCTATTCTGCAACCTTTGATGGAATCTATGTTTTTCATGAATGTATCTGCATCCCGGATAAACTTACATGCTTCAGAAATGACACCAGTTCTGTTGTCATTTGCTAACAAAACACTGCTGTAGTAGTTGTATGGAAATACTTCTTTCGGTCCTGTTTGTAAGTTAAACATAGCAGGAAATAGTTTAAGCTTCTTATTTATAACACTGTAAGAGTCTTTTATAATAATTGCCCTTCCTTTATATAAGCCAGTTATTTGCATTGTTCGTGAACCTTTAATGATGGGAGTTCCTTTCACTTCTGTCATGTGTCTTAAGATGAAGTTTATATCATAACTGAGGTTATGGAAATATATTAAACTCTTGTCAGGAAGTCGTTCCAAAAATTCTGTTGCACAGTTCTGACCCCAAATGCTTTCACTCACTGAACCATCTTCACTGTCGTAACATATGTTAAAAGCTTTATGAAAGCCATCAGTGCTACACTCAAAGTCAGCAAAGAAAACGTGCTCAGGAATGAACTTGCACTTATTTTTATTTACTTCTTTTGACTCGGCTTTCTTCTTCAGTTGTACACAATACTTTGGAGCATATGTCAAATCTTTAAATGGTGCAAGGTTCTGTTTATATAAGTCAGTAGTATATGTGAAAAGTTCTCCATAAGAAATAGGTTCGAAATATTTGCACTCCCACAATGTTTTCATAACATCCCATAACGGTGTTGTTCTATCATAACGAACTACATATTTATCTTCTCTCTTTGTATAAATCTTCATTTGTTTCTCAATGTTCATTCCACCACAGCTTGAGATTTCTATATAGTTGCGAATGAAATATGTTGTCATTGGTAATCTTTCATTTAGCATGTAGTGGTCTTCAACAAGAAGTAAGTCAATAGTTCTAACAGTTTCACATTCTTTTGGTATGTATCTCTTTATTTCATTATGTCTTGAGTCATTGAAGTAACCAATGGTAACATTAAATGCTATACCTGTTGCGTCAGAAATTTCTTGTACTTTACTTTGAGGAAAGTCTCTAACACGAATGACTTCTCTCATGTGGTCAATAGTTTCTTCATTTACTCCAGCCTGAATGCAAGCATAAACGAAACAATTGTCTTCTGTCATAAGTGCTGCAGTTCTTTTGTTCAGTTCATTGAAGATTTGGTAGCGTTCAAGATTTATAGGTAATGTGCAAAGATACTTCCAGAACTGACCGCTTCTCTTCTTATAAAACTTCTTTTCACCATTATCTTTCCAAAAGCTTTCTATAAGTGCTGGGTTTCCTGTTTGCTTAAGAGCTTCCAAAATGGCTTTCTGGTCATTTGTCAGTGTGCTTTCATCTCTATATGGTCTCTTTTTTGGTTTGCCTTTCTTTACATCTGACATCGTTAAGCCTTCATATTCTGTTAAATCATACATCTTTATTTCAGTAAGATTCTTTATGTTTGTCAAGAAGAAGTCATAGTGCATTTCAACAATACCTGCAGCATTTGCTTCTATCTCTGATATAAAGTTCTCCTTCAAGAGCTGATGTAGTAATGTTCCAATATTATTGAGGTTTAACGTAGAACATTCATACTTTCCACCAAGTTTATAACATACCATCCATCTCTGTTGTGAGTTTATTTTAATTTTCTCTAAGAGTCTCATGAAAACCTTACCGAAATGTTTGTGTAAGTAGTCTCTGTTTGGTTCATCTAAAGCTTCGATGTTAAAGTCAATGAGTCTATTGCCTGACTTCACATTTCTCTTCCTATTCTCTTCATCTTTCTTTAACCATCTCTCACCTTCTTTTGGTTTGTCGTCAATGGAACGAATGACATCGTTAGCTTTGCGAACTTGTTCTATAGCGCTCTTAAACATCTCTCTTCTCTGTTGTTTCAGTGTGTCGTCTCTTCTTCTTGTTTCACCAACGTTTGCATTTGTTATGTCAAACATTTCTCTTCTTACTTCATGAGGTACTGAACGTCTATGATATAAGTCAATAGCAACGTCATTTAAAGGAAATGCTCTTGCATGGACTTCGTCCTCGCCGCGTTGCGGCTTTATGAACTCATGAATTCTATCATAACTTATTGCACCATTATAGTCTTTAATGAAGTCAGCGAGTGCTTTTTTGTTTGTTGCGTAATGTTTTGCTACTTCTATGTTAGCTTCTGTTAGAAGTTGTTTTATTTCCGAGTGTTCTAACTTAGACAACTTCCGATACATCTTTAGTAGGAAATAAAAAAAATATTTTTTGAAAAAATTAGATTAGATTTTTTAAAGTTATTTTTCAAAATAATTTAATATTTTTATTTTAATGAAACACATGCAAGATTGCAAGTTCTTTTCATACAATGCTCTCGCTACTGCCATCAAGAATGAGTTCAATAATGCTTCAAACGTTAATGTTATCTTTA